ATGTAGGTAGGAGGTAGAGATGTTGGTAGTATGTTGGTACTATGTTGTATGTTGGTAGTATGTTGGTAGTATGTTGTATGTAGTTAGTATGTTGGTAGTATGTTGTATGTTGGTAGTATGTAGTATGTTGGTAGTATGTAGTTAATATGTTGGTATGATGGTAGTATGTAGTATGTTGGTAGTATGTTGGTAGTATGTTGGCTGTATGTTGGTTGTATGTTGGTAGTATGTTGGTAGAATGTAGTATGTTGGATGTATGTTGGCTGTATGTTGGTTGTATGTTGGTAGTATGTAGTATGTTGGTAGTATGTTGCTAGTATGTTGGTAGGGGTACCTCTCTGCGCTGTTGTCGGTGGGGGCCGTGGGGGGGATGAGAGGGGGGGAGCGGCGCTGAGACTTCCTCTGCGGGGACACGGACAGCGTCGCACACACACACAGCGAGTGAGCCCTGCTCGCTAACAGCACTTGCCCCTACAGTCTGTGAAGGCTAGACGGGGGATCTTTGTCTTTGAGTGAGTGCGTGTGAGAGTGAGTGACCCCTGTGAGTGTGTGTGAGTCAGTGAGTGTGAAACTACGACTTAAATATATAACTAATAAGCTTGAGCCGGAGGCCCCGGGGAGCCAGGCGTCTATGACGTCTTCTGGCCAAACCCCATTTGGCGGAGCCAGGAGATTGAATCTCTACCCTCGGGGCTCCTCCAGAAACAACGAAAAGCCACTTCGTTTGGCCACGTGGAATGTTCGAACGCTCACTGCGGAGGAGAGGCTGCCACTCCTCTGTCGGGAGCTGGACCGGTACCACCTGGATCTCTGTGGCATTCAGGAGGTCCGGTGGACCGGTTCTGGCTCCTGCCACCATGAGGGGTGGACAGTCCTCTACTCGGGGCAGCAGACTGCCAAACAACAGGGTGTGGCTCTTCTTTTGAACAAAAGAATGAAGGGGGCGTGGGAGCGTGGCGGTGAGGTGTGGGAAGCTGTAAGCCCCAGGCTACTTTGGGCTCACCTTCCCATCAATCGGAGGCGAGGATTGGTGGTCGTGGTTACTTATGCCCCCACCGAAGACGAACATCCGTGGAGGGATGCAGGCAAAGCCGATGAGTCAGATGCCTTCTATGACCTCCTGTCACAGGTGCTGGCTAAAGTGGCCCCTCGGGATAGAGTCATCTTGTTGGGTGACTTCAATGCCCGAGTTGGTCATGATGCTGGCACCTGGTTTGGAGTGATTGGAGGGCATGGGCCGGATCAGCTCAATAACAACGGTAGGAGGCTGCTAGATTTTTGTGCAGCCCATGGGCTTGTAATTACCAACACGCTGTTCCGGCATCGGCGCATCCACACAACATCATGGATGCATGCCGGGTCCAAGCAAGAACATCTGCTGGACTACATAGTGACGGACCAGCAGATGCGAGCCCATGTGCTTGACACCAGGACCTACCGTGGAGCTGATCTGCCCTCTGACCATCGACTAGTCTTCTGTAAGATGCGCCTGCCATTCTTCCACTCCGGTGGTGGGTGTACACCCAGAACCCCATTCCAACCTAAAGTGGCCTGGTCTCAAATAACTGATGAAAGTTGCAAGCGAGAATTTCATCATCACATGTGGCTGGGGTTGGCATCGTCCCCCACTCCTCCTGATGTCGAGGGTAAATGGGCGAGGTTTAGAACTGTGACTCAAGCAGCTACAATGGCTGCTTTGGGTACACGGTCCAGACCTCCCCAGAGACCCTGGCTGACAGAGGATGTGTTCAGGATGGTTGAGAAAAAGCGACAGGCCCACTGTCATCGGCTACAGAATCCCACGTCAGAGAATGAGGAGGCTTGCCGCGGCCTTCGCTCGCAGGTTCGGAGAGCCGTGAGGCGCTGCAAGGATGGGTGGTGGTCACGGGTTGCCGAGTAGATGGAGTCTGCCTCAGCGGCCCGTGATCACAAATCTCTATTTAACGCCATCAAAAAAGTAACCTGCAGCGCCACACCTATTACCATCATTAGGGGAAAAAACGGTGATCCAATCTCGGACCCCCAGGAAAGGGTTTGCAGATTTGCTGAGCATTTCTGCGAGGTCCTGGGGGAGGGGAAATCCCTCAGCCAGGAAAACATCATGGCACAAAGTGGGGATGACCCTGCAGAGGCTGCAGTGCCTCAAATATTGGAAGTCACCCCCTGTGAGTGGCTGGCTGAGGTGCCATCTGTTGAGGAAGTACTGAGGGCGATCCGGAGTCTGAGACCAGGAAAGGCACCGGGTAGAGATGATCTCCCAAGCGAAATGCTGAGAGAGGGTGGCGTTTGTGCACAGACTGCCCTATATGACATCATAACAACAGTCTGGACCACTGGGCAGGTTCCGCAGGATTGGAAGGATGCCCTGGTGGTCCCTCTCTTTAAGAAGGGGGACCGCACAGACTGTAACAACTACAGAGGCATCTCACTTCTCAGTGTGCCGGGAAAGGTCCTGGCAAGGATTATTCAACATCACCTTGCCAGGCATGCTGAGGAGAGGCTTGCGGAGCCCCAATGCGGTTTCAGGAAAGGGCGGTCCTGCACAGATGCAATATTTTCTATCCATCTCCTACAGCAGAGGTGTAGGGAATTCCAACAAGACCTACATCTCTGCTTTATTGACCTGGTCAAGGCCTATGATACCATCAGTAGGCCTGGGCTCTGGGTTGTTCTTCGTGCTTTTGGAGTCCCTGACCCTCTACTCACGATCATTAAGGACCTTCATGATGGTGAGCGGGCCCGGGTAAAACTACGTGGCCGGGAGTCAGAACCATTCCCTGTACACCTTGGGGTGCGACAGGGATGTCCTCTGGCTCCCACATTATTTAACATCTATTTTGACCACGTAGTTCGTGAAGCCTTCAATAGCTGTACCAGGGGAATCGCCATTTGGTACAGATATAATGGGAGGCTGATCGATGCCCGGGTGCGATCAAGGGATGGCTCCCTATTGCTCAACCACGTTATGTATGCCGATGATTTGGTAATAGCTGCTCATTCAGAGGAGGAGTTGGAGACGCTGCTGCCGAGACTGGAGCGTGCCACTAAGAGATGGGGCCTTACCATCAGCCCCACCAAAACTAAGCACCTGCCTGGGTATTTTGTACCATCGGGCACTCCACCCCCACAACTCCCAATCGGTGATGGGGCAATTGTGGAGAGAGTGGAGAGTTTCTCATACCTGGGCAGTGTGCTTATGACCAGCTCCAGTTTAACAGCAGAGGTCTCACTCCGAATCAGTCGAGAGGCAATATCTTTTCATCGGTTGCGTAACGCTGTGTGGAAGCTACCTGGTCTGTCGCTCCGCACTAAGCTTTGGGTCTTCTCGGCCAAGGTCATTCCCTCCCTTCTCTACGGTTGCGAAACGTGGACCCCCCTAATGGAACATCCATCCTGGGTTTAACCAGGCTGGATTGTGTGAGGAGCTCACAAATCCTGTTGGTGAGCTCCTCCGGCAGGCAAGACTGCGTTGGTTGGGTCATGTAGCCCGCATGCCCAGCCACCGCATGCCGAAACAGCTTTTGTTCAGCCAAATCAAGGGGGCTAAGCGGGCGCAGCACGGGCTAGAGAAGAGATGGAGTGATGTGGTACAGGAGGGCGTGGAGCTGAGTGGACTTGCCGATGACCGGTACCAGCGGTGTCAAGATCGGCCTCTGTGGAGGAGGCTAGTGAAGGACGCTACTGGGCAGTTGGAGGCAGCCGCCCTCCAACAACAACGGAGGGCGGAGGAGCGATGCTCACAACAACGAGCGGAGCGCCGGGTGGCTAAAGCACAGCAGGTTGGCACAGTAGGGGGCACAGGTGGTGCACCAGCCACTCATCTCAGTCATCTCGGTCAGTCGACCCGTGGCACCTGCTGGGTCTGCCCCGTGACCTCCTGCCCGCGGGCGTTCGAACACCTCGCGTGGCCTCAGGGTGCACATGGCCTGGCGCAAGCGTCGTGGTGACGTCACCGCCACTTAGTGGCGAATGGCGGTTGTTGTTGTTGTTGTTGTGATCCCTGTGAGTGATCACCGGGGGGGTTGAGCGTGCCGCTGGACTGAGCACAGTGCGGTTGCGCTGCTGCTCATGCCGCAGAATCCATCCGTGCAGCTCCCCAGACAGCCTGACAGACACGTACAAAAAAAGACAAAGATCCCACATATAGCCTCTAACAGACTGTAGGGGCAAGTGCTGTTAGCGAGCAGCGCCTATGAAGGCCGGCACTGTGGCACACGAGGGGGTGGGTGGCCAGCAACCACGCCCGGCCGCCTTTGTCTCCCCAGTGGCGACGTTTACTGCACACCGTACCAGGTACTCATTTGAGGCCGAGTCGACCTAGGGGAGACTCAGGACCGGTTCGGATAATCGCTATGACTGGCGTTGGCGGTGAGCGGGAATCGAACTGGGGTTGGCGGGTTCGTAGCGCAGCGTCGCACTAGCCACTACGCTTACCGCTTCCCGTAACACGCACACACGTACACACGTACACACGTACACACACGTACACACACACGCGTACACACGTACACACACGTACACACGTACACGTACACACGTACACGTACACACGTACACGTACACACGTACACGTACACACGTACACACACACGTACACACGTACACACACACGTACATACGTACACACACACGTACATACGTACACACACACGTACACACGTACACACACACACGTACACACGTACACACACACACACGTACACACGTTCATACGTACACACACACGTACACACACACACGTACACACGTATACACACACGTACACACACACACGTACACACACGTACACACACGTACACACGTACACACACACACACGTACACACGTACACAAGTAAATACACACACGTACACACGTAAATACACACACACGTAAATACACACACACATAAATACGCACACACACACGTAAATACACACACGTAAATACACACCCACAAATACGCACACACACACGTAAATACGCACACACACGTAAATACCCACACACGTAAATACACACACACACGCAAATACACACACCCAGGTAAATACGCACACGTAAATACACACGCGTAAATACACACACACACGTAAATACACACACACACGTAAATACACACACACGTAAATACACACACGTAAATACACACACACACGTAAATAAACACAGACACAAATATACACTCACACACGTAAATACACACACACACGTAAACACACACACACACAAATATACACACACACGTACACAAACACATGCAGACTGGGAAAGGATCACCACTGGGTCTGAGCGAGTGCTGAGAGAGGGGGAGCGAGTGGTGAGCGAGTGGTGAGTGTGTGGTGAGCGAGTGGTGAGTGAGTGGTGAGCGAGTGGTGAATGGTGAGCGAGTGGTGAGTGTGTGGTGAGCGAGTGGTGTGTGGTGAGCGAGTGGTGAGTAGTGAGCGAGTGGTGAGCGAGTGGTGAGCGAGTGGTGAGTGAGTGGTGAGGAAGTGGTGAGGAAGTGGTGAGCGAGGTACCGCAAGATCTCACTACTGTTGAGCTGGATGCAGGACTGGGGTAGGATCACCACTGGGTCGTCCCTCCTCAGGACCAGTTCAGAGTCAGCCCAACGTGCACTACAACAAAGACAAAGGTCCCCCGGGTAGCCTCACACACACTGTAGGGGCAAGTGATGTTAGCGAGCAGCACCTGTGAAGGTAGACACAGACAAAGGTCCCCCGTGTAGCCTCACACAGACTATAGGGGCAAGTGCTGTTAGTAGCGAGTAGCAGCAGTGCCTGTGAAGGTAGACACAGACAAAGGTCCCCCGTGTAGCCTCTAACAGACTGTAGGGGCAAGTGCTGTTAGTAGCGAGTAGCAGCAGCGCCTGTGAAGGTAGACACAGACAAAGGTCCCCCATGTAGCCTCTAACAGACTGTAGGGGCAAGTGCTGTTAGTAGCGAGTAACAGCAGCGCCTGTGAGAGTAGACACAGACAAAGGTCCCCCGTGTAGCCTCTAACAGACTGTAGGGGCAAGTGCTGTTAGTAGCGAGTAGTAGCAGCGCCTGTGAAGGTAGACACAGACAAAGGTCCCCCGGGTAGCCTCTAACAGACTGTAGGGGCAAGTGCTGTTAGTGAGCACCTACGAAGGCCCGCACTGTGGCACACGAGGGGGTGGGTGGCCAGCACCACGCCCGGCCGCCTTTGTCTCCCCAGTGTTGATATTTACTACACACCGCACCAGCTACACATTTGAGGGGCAGGGCTCAGCCTAGCGGAGGCTGAGGACTAGCTCAGATAGTCGCTATCACCGGCATTGTTGGCCGTGAGCGGGAATCAAACTCGAGTATTTTCTGGGTTCGTAGCGCAGGGCAGCGCTAACATGCTGGATAAAGGAATCCGCAAGCCATTGAAACACAGAGACTCACAGACCCTCACAGAGACTCACACAGAGACTCACAGACTCTCACAGAGACTCACAGACTCTCACACAGATTCTCACAGAGACTCACAGACTCTCACAGAGACTCACATAGAGACTCACAGACCCTCACAGAGACTCACATAGAGACTCACAGACTCTCACAGAGACTCACAGACGCTCACACAGATTCTCACAGAGACTCACAGACTCTCACAGAGACTCACATAGAGACTCACAGACTCTCACAGAGACTCACATAGGGACTCACAGACCCTCACAGAGACTCACAGACTCTCACACCGATTCTCACAGAGACTCACAGACTCTTACAAAGACGCACGGAGACTCACACAGAGACTCACGCAGAGACTCACAGACTCACACAGAGACTCTCACAGAGAAGCACACAGAGACTCACACAGAGACTCACACTCTCACAGAGACGCTCGCAGAGACTCACAGACTCACACAGACTCACGCAGAGGCTCACAGACTCACACAGAGACTCTCACAGAGAAGCACACAGAGACTCACACAGAGACTCACACTCTCACAGAGACTCTCACAGAGACTCACAGACTTACACAGAGACTCACAGAGACTCACAGACTCTCACAGAGACTCTCACAGAGACTCACAGACTCTCACAGAGACTCACACAGAGACTCTCACAGAGACTCACACAGAGACTCACACAGAGACTCACACTCTCACAGAGACTCTCACAGAGACTCACACAAAGACTCACAGATTCTCACAGAGACTCTCACAGAGACTCACAGACACTCACAGACTCTCACAGAGACTCACACAGAGACTCACAGACTTTCACAGAGACTCTCACAGAGATTCACACAGAGACTCACAGACTCTCACAGAGACTCAGACTCTCACAGAGACCCATAGACTCACACATAGACCCATAGACTCACACAGAGACCCATAGACTCACACAGAGACCCATAGACTCACACAGAGACCCATAGACTCACACAGAGCCCCATAGACTCACACAGAGACTCACACAGTGACTCACACAGACTCACAGACTCTCACAGAGACTCACACAGTGACTCACACAGTGACTCACAGACTCTCACAGAGACTCACAGACTCTCACAGAGACTCTCACAGAGACTCACACAGAGACTCACAGAGACTCACACAGAGACTCACACAGAGACTCTCACAGAGACTCACAGACTCACACAGACACTCACACAGAGACCCATAGACTCACACAGAGACCCATAGACTCACACAGAGACCCATAGACTCACACAGAGACTCTCACAGAGACTCTCACAGAGACTCTCACAGAGACTCACGCAGAGACTCACACAGAGACTCACGCAGAGACTCAGACTCTCACAGAGACCCATAGACTCACACAGAGACCCATAGACTCACACAGAGACCCATAGACTCACACAGAGACCCATAGACTCACACAGAGACCCATAGACTCACACAGAGACCCATAGACTCACACAGAGAACCATAGACTCACACAGAGACCCATAGACTCACACAGAGACCCATAGACTCACACAGAGACCCATAGACTCACACAGAGAACCATAGACTCACATAAAGACCCATAGACTCACACAGAGAGCCATAGACTCACACAGATACCCACAGACTCAGAGACCCATAGACTCACACAGAGACCCATAGACTCACAGAGAGACCCATAGACTCACACAGAGACACACACAGTAAGTAACGAATGAAGGTGAGTGGTGAGTAGTGGGTCAGTGGGTGGATGGGTGAGTGAGTGAGTGGGTGCGTGAGTGAGTGAGTGTGTGAGTGAGTGGGTGAGTGAGTGAGTGGGCGAGTGAGTGAGTGAGTGAGTGAGTGGGTGAGTGGGTGGGTGGGTTTGTAAGTGAGTGAGTGGGTGGGTGAGTGGGTGGATGGGTGGGTGAGAGTAGGTGAGTGGGTGGGTGAGTGGGTGGATTAGTGAGTGGGTGATTGGGTGGGTGAATGAAGGGGTGAGTGGGTGGGTGGATTAGTGGGTGAGTTGGTGAGTGGGTGAGTGAGTGGGTGGGTGGATGGGTGGGTGGGTGAGTGGGTGGGTGAGTCGGTGGATGAGTGAGTGAGTGGGTGGATGAGTGAGTGGGTGGGTGGGTGGATGAGTGAGTAGGTGGGTGAGTGGGTGGGTGGGTGAGTAGGTGAGTGAGTGGGTGAGTGAGTGGGTGAGTGAGTGGGTGGGTGGATGAGTGAGTGTGTGAGTGGGTGGGTGGATGAGTGAGTGAGTGGGTGGGTGAGTGAATGGGTGGGTGAGTGAGTGGGTGGGTGAGTGAGTGGGTGAGTGAGTGAGTGGATTAGTGAGTGAGTGGGTGAGTGAGTGAGTGAGTGGGTGAGTGAGTGGGTGAGTGAGTGGGCGGGTGAGTGAGTGAGAGGGTGAGTGAGTGAGTGAGTGGCTGAGTGAGTGGGTGAGTAAGTGAGTGAGTGGGTGAGTAAGTGAGTGAGTGGGTGAGTGAGTGGGTGGGTGAGTGAGTGGGTGAGTGAGTGGGTGGGTGAGTGAGTGGGTGAGTGAGTGGTGAGTGAATGGGTGAGTGAGTGGGTGGGTGAGTGAGTGAGAGGGTGAGTGAGTGAGTGAGTTGGCATGAATGGAGGTGTGAGCTTGCTGGTGACCCGTGACCCCTCACCGGCTGTGTGGGCGCTGTGTCTCCGTGGGGGTCGAGGCCGGTGGCCGTGCCTGCTCCTCGTACCCCAGCAGCCTCCGCCCAGCCAGGGGGGGCAGCAGGCGGGGGTGGGGGGCGGGGGAATGGGGGGCCTCACCCAGCGGGCCCAGCCTGCAACAGCAGCAACGACGACATCGTCATCATCATCATCATCGTCGTCTTCGTCGTCTTCATCGTCATCATCGTCAGCATCATCATCATCATCATCGTCTTCGTCATCATCATCATCATCGTCGTCGTCTTCGTCGTCTTCATCGTCATCGTCAGCATCGTCATCGTCGTCATCGTCATCATCGTCATCATCGTCATCATCGTCGTCATCATCATCGTCGTCGTCATCGTCGTCGTCATCGTCGTCATTGTCGTCATCATCGTCGTCATCGTCGTCATTATCGTCATCATCATCGTCATCATCATCATCATTGTCTTCGTCGTCGACATCGTCGTCAACATCGTCATCATCGTCGTCATCGTCGTCATCATCGTCGTCATCGTCGTCATCGTCGTCATCATCATCATCATCGCCATCATCATCATCGTCGTCGACATCGTCATCATCGTCGTCATCGTCGTCGTCGTCATCGTCGTCGTCATCATCGTCATCATCATCGTCGTCGCCATCATCATCATCATCGTCGTCATCGTCATCATCGTCATCATCGTCTTCGTCGTCATCATCGTCGTCAACATCATCATCGTCGTCATCGTCATCATCGTCGTTGTCGTCATCATCGTCATCATCATCGTCATCATCATCGTCTTCGTCGTCATCATCATCATCGTCGTCATCATCATCGTCATCATCATCGTCATCGTCGTCGTCGTCGTCATCGTCGTCATCATCATCATCATCGTCGTCTTCGTCGTCGACATCGTCATCATCATCGTCATTATCGTCATCATCGTCGTCATCATCGTCATCATCATCGTCATCATCATCGTCGTCATCGTCGTCATCATCATCGTCATCATCATCGTCATCGTCGTCATCATCGTCATCATCGTCGTCATCGTTGTCATCATCATCGTCATCATCGTCATCATCATCGTCGTCATCATCGTCATCATCGTCGTCGTCGTCATCGTCGTCAACATCGTCGTCATCGTCATCATCGTCGTCAAAATCGTCGTCATCGTCGTCAAGATCGTCGTCAACATCGTCAAGATCATCGATATCGATATCATCATCATCATCATCGTCGTCAACATTGTCATCATCATTGTAAACATCGTTAACATGAACATTTTCAACATCGACATCATCATTGTCAACATCGTCATCATCGCCAACATCGTTAACCACCATCACCAAAGACAAATATCTCCCGTAAAGCCTTAACAGACTGTAGGGGCAAGTGCTGTTAGCGAGTAGCACCACCTATGAAGGCTACCGGCACTTTGGCACACGAGGGGGTGGGTGGCCAGCACCACGCCCGGCCGCCTTTGTCTCTCTAGCGGCGATGGTTACACACCGCACCAGGTTCTCATTTGAGGCCGAGTCTACTTAGGGGAGGCCCAGGAACGGTTCAGAGAATCGTCACTGGTGTTGGCTGCGAGCGGAAACCGAACAGAGTGCTAACCACTACACTACCGCTCCCCCACTTTCACCACCACCACCACCACAACCACCACCACCACAACCACCACAACCATCAGCACCATCAGCACCATCAGCACCATCAGCACCATCAGCATCACCACCACCATCATCATCATCACCACCATCATCATCAACACCATCACCGTCACCATCACCACCGCCATCACCACCATCACCACCGCCATCACCACCGCCATCACCCACCACCATCACCACCGCCATCACCACCATCACCACCGCCATCACCACCGCCATCACCACCACCGCCACCATCACAACCAACATCACCATCACCACCACCATCACCACCACCATCACCACCACCATCACCACCGCCATCACCACCACCACCACCATCACCACCACCATCACAACCACCATCACCACAACCAACACCACCACCACCGCCACCATCACAACCAACATCACCATCACCACCACCATCACCACCACCATCACCACCACCATCACCACCGCCATCACCACCACCACCACCATCACCACCACCATCACAACCACCATCACCACCACCATCACCACAACCAACACCACCGCCACCACAACCACCACAACCATCACCACCACCATCACAACCACCATCATCACAACCAACACCACCACCGCCACCATCACAACCACCGCCATCACCACCATCACCACCACCGCAACCAACACCACCACGATCACCACCGCCATCACCACCACCACCACCATCACCACCACCACCATCACCACAACCAACACCACCACCACCATCACCACCACCACCATCACCACCACCATCACCACCACCGCCACCATCACAACCAACACCACCATCACCATCACCACCATCACAACCAACACCACCATCACCACCACCATCACCACCGCCACCATCACCACAACCAACACCACCACCATCACCACCACCACCATCACCACCACCACCATCACCACCACCACCATCATCACCACCACCATCACCACCACCATCACCACCACCATCACCACCACCATCACCACCACCATCACCACCACCACCATCACCACCATCACCACCATCACCACCATCACCACCACCATCACCACCACCATCACCACCACCATCACCACCACCGCCACCATCACAACCAACACCACCACCATCACCACCATCACAACCAACACCACCATCACCACCACCATCACCACCGCCACCATCACCACAACCAACACCACCACCATCACCACCACCACCACCATCACCACCACCACCACCACCATCATCACCACCACCATCACCACCACCACCATCACCACCACCATCAACACCACCACCACCACCGCCATCACCACCACCACCACCACCATCATCACCACCACCATCATCACCACCACCATCACCACCACCATCAACACCACCACCACCACCGCCATCACCACCACCACCGCCATCACCATCACCACCATCACCACCATCACCACCACCACCACCATCACCACCACCATCACCACCACCACCATCACCACCACCATCACCACCATCACCACCATCACCACCACCACCATCACCACCACCACCACCATCATCACCACCACCACCACCATCACCACCACCATCACCACCACCACCATCACCACCACCATCACCACCACCGCCATCACCATCACCACCATCACCACCATCACCACCACCGCCACCACCATCACCACCACCATCACCACCACCATCACCACCATCACCATCACCACCGCCACCACCATCACCACCACCACCATCACCACCACCACCATCACCCACCCGAGCGGGCCGTATCCCAGGACGAAGAACGCCAGCAGCACCATTGCACAGACAGCCTTCGTGGTCCGTGGAGCAACACCCCCTCCACCCTGGCACAGCCACACACACACACACCAGACAAAGGTCCCCCGTGTAGCCTCACACACTCGTGGGGTAAGTGTGTATGGGCGTACCGATACCCACACACACACCAGACAAAGATCCCCCATGTAGCCTCACACACTCGTGGGGCAAGTGTGTATGGCTGTACTGATACCCACACACACACACACACCAGACAAAGATCCCCCGTGTAGCCTCACACAGTCGTAGGGCAAGTGTGTATGGGCGTACCGATACCCACACACACACACACCAGACAAAGATCCCCCGTGTAGCCTCACACACTCGTGGGGCAAGTGTGTATGGGTGTACCGATACCCACCCACACACACACCAGACAAAGATCTCCCGTGTAGCCTCACACACTCGTGGGGCAAGTGTGTATGGGTGTACCGATACCCACACACACACACACACCAGTCGAAGATCCCCCGTGTAGCCTCACATACTCGTGGTGGCTATGAGATGTTAACTCCCTCGCCTGGTCTACAGGAGGTCGTGAGTGTGATCCCAACCCTGACGATGCCTGCAGCTGCTGCTGTATATTTGGAGTCTGCGTCTCTCTCTCTCATCATCACCACTGTGGCTATGAGATGTTAGCTACCTCGCCTGGTCTTCAGGAGGTCTGTTTCTCTCTCTCATCATCACCACGGTGGCTATGAGATGTTAACTACCTCGCCTGGTATACAGGAGGTCGTGGGTTCGATCCCTGACCCTGTCGATGCCTGCTGCTGCTGCTGTATATTTGGAGTCTGTGTCTCTCTCATCATCATCACAGTGGCTAGGAGATGTTAACTCCATCGCCTGGTCTACAGGAGGTCGTGGGTTCTGACCCTGACGATGCCTGCTGCTGCTGCTACTGCTGCTACTACTGTTACTGCTGCTGCTACTACTGCTACTACTGCTGCTACTACTGCTACTGCTACTACTGCTACTACTGCTACTGCTGCTGCTACTACTGCTGCTGCTACTGCTGCTACTACTGCTGCTACTGCTGCTGTATATTTGGAGTCTGCGTCTATCTCCCCGTGGTCGCTGCATGGATTTTTCTCCGGGTCCTCCGGTTTTTCCCTCCACATTTAGAATCAAATTTCGATTTAAAGCTTTCATGACTGCAGGGATTCAAATTCTTGGTTCTTTCGGTAAAGTCACCACGCAGAAGGGCAATAATAAAATAATAAAAATAAAATAAAATTCTCACGACGTTTCCGCCACAACGCAAGCAGCCATCCTCAGGCGAAGAAACAGAACTGTCGGAAAGACGACGCTCCAATGAACACCGCTAAGCTTGGCAGCATCTTGTCAAGGCGCTCTGCTCCTCCCACCCAGCTTAAATACAGAAGTCTTCTATGACCTCCTGTCACAGGTGCTAGCTAATGTGGCCCCTCGGGATAGAGCCATCTTCTTGTTGGGTGACTTCAATGCCCGAGTTGGTCATGATGCTGGCACCTGGTCTGGAGTGATTGGAGGGCATGGGGCAGATCAGCTCAATAACAACGGTAGGAGGCTGCTAGATTTTTGTGCAGTCCATGGGCTTGTAATTACCAACACGCTGTTCCGGCATCGGCGCATCCACACAACATCATGGATGCACGCCGGGTCCAAGCAAGAACATCTGCTGGACTACATAGTGACGGAACAATGGATGCGGGCCCATGTCCTTGACACCAGGACCTACCGTGGAGCTGATCTGCCCTCTGACCATCGACTAGTCATCTGTAAGACGCGCCTGCCATTCTTCCACTCCGGTGGTGGGCGTACACCCAGGACCCCATTCAAACCCACAGTGGCATGGTCTCAGCTAGCTGATGAAAGTTGCAAGCGAGAATTTCATCATCGCTTGCGGCTGGGATTGGCATCATCCCCCACTCCTCCCGATGTCGAGGGGAAATGGGCGAGGTTTTGGACTGTGGCTCATGCAGCTGCAATGGCTGCTTTAGGTACGTGGTCCAGACCTCCCCAGAGACTCTGGCTGACAGAGGAGGTGTTCAGGATGGCTGAGAAAAAGTGACAGGTCCACTTTCACCATCTCCAGCATCCCCCCTAATGGAGCATCTTCGCCGACTGGAAACATTTAGGCTGGCCAGCCTATGATCCATCCTGGGTTTAACCAGGCTGGATTGTGTGAGCAGCTCACAAATCCTTGAAAGATCTGGGCAAGGTCCCATCAGTGAGCTCCTCCGGCAGGGAAGGGCTGCGTTGGCTGGGTCACGTAGCCCGCATGCCCAGCCACCGCATGCCGAAACAGCTTTTGTTCGGCCGGATAGAGGGGGCTAAACGGGCGCGGCACGGGCTAGAGAGATGGAGTGATGTGGTACAGGAGGACGTGGAGCTGAGTGGACTTGCCGATGACTGGTACCAGCGGTGTCAAGATCGGCCTCTGTGGAGGAGGCTCGTGAAAGACGCCTCTGGGCAGTTGGAGGCAGTCGCCCTCCAACAACAACGGAGGGCGGAGGAGCGACGCTCACAACAACGAGCGGAGCGCCGGGTGGCTAAAGCACAACAAGTTGGCACTGTGTCTGCGCGTGTACCTGTGTCTGCGCGCGTGCCCGTGTCTGCGCGTGTACCTGTGTCTGCGCGCGTACCCGTGTCTGCGCGTGTACCCGTGTCTGCGCGCGTGCCCGTGTCTGCGCGTGTGCCCGTGTCTGCGCGCGTACCCGTGTCTGCGCGTGTACCCGTGTCTGCGCGCGTACCCGTGTCTGCGCGTGTGCCCGTGTCTGCGCGTGTACCCGTGTCTGCGCGTGTGCCCGTGTCTGCGCGTGTACCTGCGCGAGCGCCAGCAGCTGAGCGAGCTGGCTGCGCAGCGCCGCATTCTCGCGCCTCAGCGCCGCGTTCTCCCCCAGCGCCGCCTGCAGCTGCCCCTGCAGCTGCTGCAGCTGCTGCCGCTTGCGTGCTCGCGACTGGCACGCAGACTCCCGGTTCTTCATCATGCGCTGCTGCCGCCTCCACACTCGCTCCTGGCCGCGGGGGTGGGCGGGGGCAGGCGCGAGGGGTCACAAGCCACCGGTCAGGGGTCGCTGGTCAGGAGGGGTCACCGATCCCACACGTTCAGCGACATCGCTCGTTCACCGCCTGTCCGAGTCACGAGCGCCGCGGGCGAATGGGTTTGCTCGCTCAGAGACTCGTGCAATATTCATAGAGACCCGTGCACACGCACGCACACGCACACACAGAAATTACTGATACAGAGGACACAGACGTACACAGAGACCCATAAACTCCCTCAGAGAGCCATAGAGACCTACAGACTCATCGCACAGAGACCCGCAGACCTGACGTGCGATCGCCCTTCGACACTTTGTGTACACGCCCACCGTGTCGGGAGAGGGGGTGACGTACGTCAGCGCCAGCGGGGGCGGAGGGGATAGGAGCCGCCGGTGCCGGCACTATGGGCTTGGCTCCCGATGCCGATGCCGGCACCACGACGTTCCTGGCGGTGATTGGGAGCGGCACGGACCCCACGCCGGAGCCGGCGGCAGGCAGCAGCTGGCTGGGGCACCGCAACACCACGGTGCGGGCTGTGACACGCACGCACACGAACACACACACACGCACGCACACGAACACACGCACGCACACGAACACACACACGCACGCACGCACACGCACGCACACGCACACACACGCACGCACACGAACACACACACACGCACGCACACGCACGCACACGCACGCACACGCGCACACGCACGCACACGCACGCACACACACGCACACACACGCACACACGCGCACGCACACACGCTCTGTTTGATGAGTCTATGGGTCTCTGTGCGAGTCTATGGGTCTCTGTGTGAGTCTATGGGTCTCTGTGTGAGTCTGTGGGTCTCTGTGTGAGTCTATGGGTCTCTGTGTGAGTCTATGGGTCTCTGTGTGAGTCTGTGGGTCTCTGTGTGAGTCTATGGGTCTCTGTGCGAGTCTACGGGGCTCTGGGTGAATCTATGGGTCTCTGTGTGAGTCTATGGCTCTCTGTGTGAGTCTATGGGTATCTGTGTGAATCTATGGGTCTCTGTGTGAGTCTATGGTCTCTGTGTGAGTCTAAGGCTCTCTGTGTGAGTCTATGGGTCTCTGTGTGAGTCTGTGGGTCTCTGTGTGAGTCTATGGGTCTCTGTGTGAGTCTACAGGTCTCTGTGTGAGTCTATGGCTCTCTGTGTGAGTCTATGGGTCTCTGTGTGAGTCTGTGGGTCTCTGTGCGAGTCTATGGGTCTCTGTGTGAGTCTGCGGGTCTCTGTGTGAGTCTATGGGTATCTGTGTGAGTCTATGGGTCTGTGTGAGTCTCTGTGTGAGTCTACGGGTCTCTGTGTGAGTCTATGGGTCTCTGTGCGAGTCTATGGGTCTCTGTGTGAGTCTGTGGGTCTCTGTGTGAGTCTATGGGTCTCTGTGTGAGTCTACGGGGCTCTGTGTGAGTCTATGGGTCTCTGTGTGAGTCTATGGGTCTCTGTGTGAGTCTATGGGTCTCTGTGTGAGTCTATGGGTCTCTGTGTGAGTCTATGGGTCTCTGTGTGAATCTATGGGTCTCTGTGTGAGTCGATGGTCTCTGTGTGAGTCGATGGTCTCTGTGTGAGTCTAAGGCTCTATGTGTGAGTCTATGGGTCTCTGTGTGAGTCTGTGGGTCTCTGTGTGAGTCTATGGGTCTCTGTGTGAGTCTGCGGGTCTCTGTGTGAGTCTATGGGTCTCTGTGTGAGTCTATGGGTATCTGTGTGAGTCTATGGGTCTGTGTGAGTCTCTGTGTGAGTCTACGGGTCTCTGTGTGAGTCTACGGGTCTCTGTGTGAGTCTACGGGTCTCTGTGTGAGTCGACGGGTCTCTGTGTGAGTCTGTGGGTCTCTGTGTGAGTCTATGGGTCTCTATGTGAGTCTATGGGTCTCTGTGTGAGTCTAAGGGTCTCTGTGTGAGTCTAAGGGTCTCTGTGTGAGTCTACGGGTCTCTTTGTGAGTCTACGGGTCTCTTTGTGAGTCTATGGGTATCTGTGTGAGTCTACAGGTCTCTGTGTGAGTCTAAGGCTCTCTGTGTGAGTCTATGGGTCTCTGTGTGAGTCAATGGTCTCTGTGTGAGTCGATGGTCTCTGTGTGAGTCTAAGGCTCTCTGTGTGAGTCTATGGGTCTCTGTGTGAGTCTGTGGGTCTCTGGTGAGTCTATGGGTCTCTGTGTGAGTCTACGGGTCTCTGTGTGAGTCTATGGGCCTCTGTGTGAGTCTGCGGGTCTCTGTGTGAGTCTATGGGTCTCTGTGTGAGTCTATGGGTATCTGTGTGAGTCTATGGGTCTGTGTCAGTCTATGTGTGAGTCTACGGGTCTCTGTGTGAGTCTATGGGTCTCTGTGTGAGTCTACGGGTCTCTGTGTGAGTCTACGGGTCTCTGTGTGAGTCTGTGGGTCTCTGTGTGAGTCTATGGGTCTCTATGTGAGTCTATGGGTATCTGTGTGAGTCTACGGGTCTCTGTGTGAGTCTATGGGTCTCTGTGTGAGTCTATGGGTCTCTGTGTGAGTCTGTGGGTCTCTGTGTGAGTCTATGGGTCTCTGTGTGAGTCTGTGGGTCTCTGTGTGAGTCTACGGGTCTCTGTGTGAGTCTACGGGTCTCTGTGTGAGTCTGTGGGTCTCTGTGTGAGTCTATGGGTCTCTTTGTGAGTCTACGGGTCTCTTTGTGAGTCTACGGGTCTCTGTGTGAGTCTATGGGTATCTGTGTGAGTCTACGGGTCTCTGTGTGAGTCTATGGGTATCTGTGTGAGTCTACGGGTCTCTGTGTGAGTCTATGGGTCTCTGTGTGAGTCTATGGGTATCTGTGTGAGTCTACGGGTCTCTGTGTGAGTCTATGGGTCTCTGTGTGAGTCTATGGGTCTCTGTGTGAGTCTGTGGGTCTCTGTGTGAGTCTATGGGTCTCTGTGTGAGTCTGTGGGTCTCTGTGTGAGTCTACGGGTCTCTGTGTGAGTCTATGGGTCTCTGTGTGAGTCTATGGGTCTCTGTGTGAGTCTATGGGTCTCTGTGTGAGTCTATGGGTCTCTGTGTGAGTCTATGGGTCTCTGTGTGAGTCTATGGGTCTCTGTGTGAGTCTATGGGTCTCTGTATGAGTCTACGGGTCTCTGTGTGGGTTTATGGGTCTCTGTATGAGTCTACGGGTCTCTGTGTGGGTCTATGGGTCTCTGTGTGAGTCTACGGGTCTCTGTGTGAGTCTATGGGTCTCTGTGTGGGTCTACGGGTCTCTGTGTGAGTCTACGGGTCTCTGTGTGAGTCTACGGGTCTCTGTGTGGGTCTATGGGTCTCTGTGTGAGTCTACGGGTCTCTGTGTGAGTCTATGGGTCTCTGTGTGAGTCTATGGGTATCTGTGTGAGTCTACGGGTCTCTGCGTGGCTGCAGGAGTCACCTGCTGGGCCCACCATCGCAGTAGTGCCGGTGCCGTGGGTGGCGGTGCGGCGTGGGCCGGCTGTGGCCGGAGCGAGGAGGGCAACCGGCGTCAGCAGCACGGGCAGAGGTGGCACGGGGCCAGCCGGTCCAGCCGGGCACCGTGGGAGAAGCAGGGGGCCTGGTGGAGGGTACGGTGGACAACCACACCACTGGTACACCACACAACTACACCACTTGTATACCACACAACTATACCACATGTACACCACACAACCACACCACGTGTACACAACACAACTACACCACGTGTACACCACACAACCACACCACGTGTACACCACACCACTTGTACACCACACAACTACACCACGTGTACACCACACAACTACACCACGTGTACACCACACAACCACACCACGTGTACACAACACAACTACACCACGTGTACACCACACAACCACACCACGTGTACACCATACCACTTGTACACCACACAACCACACCACGTGTACACCACACAACCACACCACGTGTACACCATACCACTTGTACACCACACAACCACACCACGTGTACACAACACAACCACACCACTTGTACACCACACAACCACACCACGTGTACACCACACAACTACACCACTTGTACACCACACAACCACACCACTTGTACACCACACAACCACACCACTTGTACACAACACAACTACACCACGTGTACACCACACAACCACACCACGTGTACACCACACAACTACACCACTTGTACACCACACAACCACACCACTTGTACACCACACAACCACACCATTTGTACACAACACAACTACACCACTTGTATACCACACAACCACACCACTTGTATACCACACAACTACACCACGTGTACACCACACAACTACACCACTTGTATACCACACAACCACACCACGTGTACACAACACAACTACACCACGTGTACACAACACAACTACACCACGTGTATACCACACAACCACACCACGTGTACACCACACAACCACACCACGTGTACACAACACAACCACACCACGTGTATACCACACAACTACACCACGTGTACACCACACAACCACACCACTTGTATACCACACACCCACACCACTGGTACACCACACAACCACACCACTTGTACACCACACAACCACACCACTTGTACACCACACAACCACACCACTTGTACACCACACAACCACCCACTTGTATACCACACAACTACACCACGTGTATACAACACAACCACACCACTGGTACACCACACAACCACACCACTTGTACACAACACAACCACACCACTTGTACACCACACAACTACCCAACTTGTACACAACTACACCACTTGTATACCACACAACTACACCACGTGTACACAACACAACTACACCACTTGTACACAACACAACCACACCACTTGTACACAACACAACCACACCACTTGTATACCACACAACTACACCACGTGTACACAACTACACCACTTGTATACCACACAACTACACCACGTGTACACCACACAACTACACCACTTGTACACAACACAACTACACCACTTGTACACAACACAACCACACCACTTGTATACCACACAACTACACCACGTGTACACCACACAACTACACCACTTGTACACAACACAACTACACCACTTGTACACAACACAACCACACCACTTGTATACCACACAACTACACCACTTGTATACCATACAACTACACCACGTGTACACCACACAACTAAACCACGTGTACACCACACAACTACACCACGTGTATACCACACAACTACACCACTTGTACACAACACAACTACACCACTTGTATACCACACAACCAAACCACTGGTACACCACACAACCACACCACTTGTATACCACACAACTACACCACGTGTATACCACACAACTACACCACGTGTACACCACACAACTACACCACGTGTATACCACACAACTACCCCACTTGTATACAACACAACCACACCACTTGTATACCACACAACTACACCTCGTGTACACCACACAACTACACCACTTGTATACCACACAACTACACCACGTGTACACCACACAACCACACCACGTGTATACCACACAACTACACCACTTGTACACCACACAACTACACCACGTGTATACCACACAACTACACCACGTGTACACCACACAACCACACCACGTGTATACCACACAACTACACCACTTGTACACCACACAACTACACCACGTGTATACCACACAACTCTACTCCACTTGTACACCACACAACTACACCACGTGTACACCACACAACTACACTTGTATACCACACAACTACACCACTTGTATACCACACAACTACACCACTTGTACACAACACAACTACACCACGTGTATACCACACAACTACACCACTTCTATACCACACAACTACACCACGTGTATACCACACAACTACACCACTTGTATACCACACAACTACACCACTTGTACACAACACAACTACACCACGTGTATACCACACAACTACACCACTTCTATACCACACAACTACACCACGTGTACACCACACAACTACACCACGTGTATACCACACAACTACACCACGTGTACACCACACAACTACACCACTTGTACACCACACAACTACACCACGTGTACACCACACAACCACACCACGTGTACACCACACAACTACACCACTTGTACACCACACAACCACACCACTTGTACACCACACAACCACACCATTTGTACACAACACAACTACACCACTTGTATACCACACAACCACACCACTTGTATACCACACAACTACACCACGTGTATACCACACAACTACACCACTTGTATACCACACAACCACACCACGTGTACACAACACAACTACACCACGTGTACACAACACAACTACACCACGTGTATACCACACAACTACACCACTTGTACACCACACAACTACACCACGTGTACACCACACAACTACACTTGTATACCACACAACTACACCACTTGTATACCACACAACTACACCACTTGTACACAACACAACTACACCACGTGTATACCACACAACTACACCACTTCTATACCACACAACTACACCACGTGTATACCACACAACTACACCACTTGTATACCATACAACTACACCACGTGTACACCACACAACTAAACCACGTGTACACCACACAACTACACCACGTGTATACCACACAACTACACCACTTGTACACAACACAACTACACCACTTGTATACCACACAACCAAACCACTGGTACACCACACAACCACACCACTTGTATACCACACAACTACACCACGTGTATACCACACAACTACACCACGTGTACACCACACAACTACACCACGTGTATACCACACAACTACACCACTTGTATACAACACAACCACACCACTTGTATACCACACAACTACACCTCGTGTACACCACACAACTACACCACTTGTATACCACACAACTACACCACGTGTACACCACACAACCACACCACGTGTATACCACACAACTACACCACTTGTACACCACACAACTACACCACGTGTATACCACACAACTACACCACGTGTACACCACACAACCACACCACGTGTATACCACACAACTACACCACTTGTACACCACACAACTACACCACGTGTATACCACACAACTCTACTCCACTTGTACACCACACAACTACACCACTTGTATACCACACAACTACACCACTTGTATACCACACAACTACACCACTTGTATACCACACAACTACACCACTTGTACACAACACAACTACACCACGTGTATACCACACAACTACACCACTTCTATACCACACAACTACACCACGTGTATACCACACAACTACACCACTTGTATACCACACAACTACACCACTTGTACACAACACAACTACACCACGTGTATACCACACAACTACACCACTTCTATACCACACAACTACACCACGTGTACACCACACAACTACACCACGTGTATACCACACAACTACACCACGTGTACACCACACAACTACACCACTTGTACACCACACCACTTGTACACCACACAACCACACCACTTGTACACCACACAACCACACCACTTGTACACAACACAACTACACCACGTGTGTACCACACAACCACACCACTTGTACACAACACAACCACACCACGTGTATACCACACAACTACACCACTTCTATACCACACAACTACACCACGTGTATACCACACAACTACACCACTTGTACACCACACAACTACACCACGTGTATACCACACAACTACACCACGTGTACACCACACAACCACACCACGTGTATACCACACAACTACACCACTTGTACACCACACAACTACCCCACGTGTATACCACACAACTCTACTCCACTTGTACACCACACAACTACACCACGTGTACACCACACAACTACACTTGTATACCACACAACTACACCACTTGTATACCACACAACTACACCACTTGTACACAACACAACTACACCACGTGTATACCACACAACTACACCACTTCTATACCACACAACTACACCACGTGTATACCACACAACTACACCACTTGTATACCACACAACTACACCACTTGTACACAACACAACTACACCACGTGTATACCACACAACTACACCACTTCTATACCACACAACTACACCACGTGTACACCACACAACTACACCACGTGTATACCACACAACTACACCACGTGTACACCACACAACTACACCACTTGTACACCACACAACTACACCACGTGTACACCACACAACCACACCACGTGTACACCACACAACTACACCACTTGTACACCACACAACCACACCACTTGTACACCACACAACCACACCATTTGTACACAACACAACTACACCACTTGTATACCACACAACCACACCACTTGTATACCACACAACTACACCACGTGTACACCACACAACTACACCACTTGTATACCACACAACCACACCACGTGTACACAACACAACTACACCACGTGTACACAACACAACTACACCACGTGTATACCACACAACTACACCACTTGTACACCACACAACTACACCACGTGTACACCACACAACTACACTTGTATACCACACAACTACACCACTTGTATACCACACAACTACACCACTTGTACACAACACAACTACACCACGTGTATACCACACAACTACACCACTTCTATACCACACAACTACACCACGTGTATACCACACAACTACACCACTTGTATACCATACAACTACACCACGTGTACACCACACAACTAAACCACGTGTACACCACACAACTACACCACGTGTATACCACACAACTACACCACTTGTACACAACACAACTACACCACTTGTATACCACACAACCAAACCACTGGTACACCACACAACCACACCACTTGTATACCACACAACTACACCACGTGTACACCACACAACTACACCACTTGTACACCACACAACTACACCACGTGTATACCACACAACTACACCACTTGTATACAACACAACCACACCACTTGTATACCACACAACTACACCTCGTGTACACCACACAACTACACCACTTGTATACCACACAACTACACCACGTGTACACCACACAACCACACCACGTGTATACCACACAACTACACCACTTGTACACCACACAACTACACCACGTGTATACCACACAACTACACCACGTGTACACCACACAACCACACCACGTGTATACCACACAACTACACCACTTGTACACCACACAACTACACCACGTGTATACCACACAACTCTACTCCACTTGTACACCACACAACTACACCACTTGTATACCACACAACTACACCACTTGTATACCACACAACTACACCACTTCTATACCACACAACTACACCACTTGTAAACAACACAACTACACACGTGTATACCACACAACTACACCACTTGTATACCACACAACTACACCACGTGTATACCACACAACTACACCACTTGTATACCACACAACTACACCACTTGTACACAACACAACTACACCACGTGTATACCACACAACTACACCACTTCTATACCACACAACTACACCACGTGTACACCACACAACTACACCACGTGTATACCACACAACTACACCACGTGTACACCACACAACTACACCACTTGTACACCACACCACTTGTACACCACACAACCACACCACTTGTACACCACACAACCACACCACTTGTACACAACACAACTACACCACGTGTGTACCACACAACCACACCACTTGTACACAACACAACCACACCACGTGTATACCACACAACTACACCACTTCTATACCACACAACTACACCACGTGTATACCACACAACTACACCACTTGTACACAACACAACTACACCACGTGTATACCGCACAACTACACCACGTGTACACAACACAACTACACCACGTGTATACCACACAACTACACCACTTGTGTACCACACAACCACACCACTTGTACACCACACAACTACACCACTTGTATACCACACAACTACACCACGTGTACACCACACAACCACACCACTTGTACACCACACAACCACACCACGTGTATACCACACAACTATACCACTTGTATACCACACAACTACACCACGTGTACACCACACAACCACACCACGTGTATACCACACAACTACACCACTTGTACACCACACAACTACACCACGTGTATACCACACAACTACACCACGTGTACACCACACAACCACACCACGTGTATACCACACAACTACACCACTTGTACACCACACAACTACACCACGTGTATACCACACAACTATACCACTTGTATACCACACAACTACACCACTTGTATACAACACAACCACACCACTTGTATACCACACAACCACACCACTTGTATACAACACAACCACACCACTTGTATACCACACAACCACACCACTTGTACACCATACAACTACACCACGTGTATACCACACAACTACACCACTTGTACACAACACAACCACACCACTTGTACACCACACAACCACACCACTTGTACACCACACAACCACACCACTTGTACACCACACAACCACACCACTTGTATACCACACAACTACACCACTTGTATACTACACAACCACACCACACCACCCGTGGTGTCCGTGCGGTGCAGTGCCGTGCCGCTCACCACCGGTGCGCGTGGCCGGACCACGCGGCTCCTCTGTCCGGAGTGCGGCGATTGCTGAGTTGGCGGCAACGGTGGTGGGGAGCGGTGACGGACACGGCACGTCGCCCGGCAAGGTGGGCGGGGTGGGCGGGAAGCTCTCCCCCTTCACGTCCTGGCGGGCACAGCACCGCGCGTTCACGTGCGAAATGTACTACACTACACTATACACTACACTATACACTACACTATACACTACACTATACACTACACACTATACACTACACTATATACTACACTATACACTATACACTACACTATACACTATATACTACACTATACACTACACTATACACTACACTATACACTACACTATACACTACACTATATACTACACTATACACTATACACTACACTATACACTATATACTACACTATACACTACACTATACACTACACTATACACTACACTATACACTATATACTACACTATACTCTACACTACACACTATATACTACACTATACACTACACACTACACTATACACTACACTATATACTACACTATACACTATACACTACACCATACAGTACAACGTATACTACACCATACACTACACTGTATACTACACTATATACTACACTATACACTATACACTACACCATACAGTACAACATATACTACACCATACACTACACTATATACTACACTATATACTACACTATACACTACACTACACAATATATACTACACTATACACTACACTATACACTACACCATATACTACACTACACTATACACTACACTATACACTACACCATACAGTACACCATATACTACACCATACACTACACTATATACTACACTATATACTACACTATACACTACACTATACACTATATACTACACTATACACTACTATACTACACTACACACTACACTATACACTATATACTACACTATACACTACACACTACACTATACAGTACACTATGCTATATACACTACACTATACACTGCTATACACTACGCTATACACTGCTATACACTACACACTGCTATACACTACACTATACAATGCTATACACTACACCATACACTACACTATACACTGCTATATACTACAATATACTATGTACACTACACTATACACTGCTATACACTACACTATACACTACACATTGCTATACACTACATACTACACTATACACTACACACTACATACTACACTATAAACTACACTATACACTGCTATAAACTACACTATACACTACACTATACACCACACTATACACTACACTATACACCATACTATATACAATACACTACTTCTGGCTAGCCATTAAACAAAGACGGCCATCACATCGCGCGCTTCCAGATGCTCGCCTTCTGCGGCCGTCTGGAATGCTCTTGCATTCTGATATTAGGAAGCCATTGGAGCTATGCTGCACTTTCACATCGTTCTAGATTGACAAACTCGTTAATTTAGCACTGCTACTGCTTGTTGTCCTTGTTGTTGTGTTTCGTTTGTTGTCACTCAATCTTCATTTGAAGCTTTCGTGAATGCAGAGATCCATACTCTTTGGTTCTTTCAGTAAAGTCACGCAGTAGGTAGAAAATAAAAATGCATCACGACATTGCGATCGCAACGCCAGCAATCGTCATCAGGCGGTTGGCTACGTACGGTGCCGAAGAAGTTCAACGTACCGTGTGCGTACATACAGCCACGGAACGGTGAAGCACGCACTTGTGTGTGCGCCTGTGTGTGTGCACGTGTGTGTGTGTGTGCGCCTGTGTGTGCGTGCACGTGTGTGTGCGTGCACGTGTGTGTGTGTGTGCACGTGTGTGTGTGTGCGCCTGTGTGTGTGTGCACGTGTGTGTGTGTGTGCACGTGTGTGTGTGTGTGTGTGCGCCTGTGTGTGCGTGCACGTGTGTGTGCGTGCACGTGTGTGTGTATGTGCACGTGTGTGTGTGCGCCTGTGTGTGTGTTTGCACGTGTGTGTGTGCACGTGTGTGTTTGCACGTGTGTGTGTGTGCACGTGTGTACACCTGTGTGTGTGTGCACGTGTGTGTGCGCCTGTGTGTGTGCGCCTGTGTGTGTGTGCACATGTGTGTGCGTGCGTGTGTGTGCGTTTAGTGCGCGTGTGCACGTGTGTAGGCGCGCGCGTGTGTGTGCATGTGTGTGTGCGTTTAGTGTGCGCGAGTGTGCGTGTGTGTGCATGTGTGTGTGCGTGTGTTGGCACAGTAGGGGGCACAGGTGGTGCATCAGCCAGTCATCTCAGTCAGTCGACCCGTGGCACCTGGGTCTGCCCAGTGACCTCCTGCCAGCGGGCGTTCGACACTTCACGTGGCCTCACGGTGCACATAGCCTGGCACAAGCGTCGTGGTGACGTCACCGCCACTTAGTGGCGAATGGCGGTTGTTGTTGTTGTTGTGTGTGCATGTGTGTGTGCGTTTAGTGTGCGCCAGTGGGGAGCGGTGGTGCAGCGGTTAGCGCAGCTTCGCTATGAACCCGGCGACCCGGGCTCGGGTTCGAGTCCTGGTCACGGCCAACACCGGTGACGATAATCCGGACCGGTCCCGGGCCTCCCCTAGGTCGACTCGGCCTCAGATCAGTACCCGGCGCGGTGTGCAAACGTCGCCACTGGGGAGACAAAGGCGGCCGGGCGTGGTGCTGGCCACCCCACCCCCCTCGTGTGCCGCAGTTTCTGGCCTTCGCAGGCGCTACTGCTGCTGCTGCTGCTCGCCGCTGACAGTGCTCTCCCCGACGATCTGCGCGGGCGACACGTGGGGGAGGTTTGTCGCTGTGCGAGCCCTCACCTCGGGCCCCAGAGTGCCAATGGAGGCCGGGGAGCCGAGGCACCCCGAGTCCGGTGAGGATGGCCCCGGATCCTCCTTCTCCTCCTCCTTCACCTCCTTCACCTCCTTCACCTCCTTCACCTCCGCGTCTGTGAGCGGTAAAGGCGCAGCCCCTGCAACTGCTCGCTCACAGCTCCTGCGACTACTGGCAGGGAGAAGAGGCTCCCCTACAAGAGGCTCCCCTACAACAGACTCCCCTACAAGACGCTCCCCTACAAGAGGCTCCCATACAAGAGACTCTCCTACAAGAGGCTCCCATACAAGAGACTCCCCTACAAGACGCTCCCCTACAAGAGGCTCCCATACAAGAGACTCCCCTACAAGAGGCTCCCATACAAGAAGCTCCCCTACAAGAGGCTCCCCTACAAGAGGCTCCCCTACAAGAGGCTCCCCTACAAGAGGCTCCCCTACAAGAGACTCCCCTACAAGAGGCTCCCCTACAAGAGTCTCCCCTACAAAAGGCTCCCCTACAAGAGACTCCCCTACAAGAGACTCCCCTACAAGAGGCTCCCATACAAGAGGCTCCCCTACAAGAGGCTCCCCTCCAAGAGGCTCCCCTACAAGAGGCTCCCCTACAAGAGGCTCCCCTACAAGAGGCTCCCCTACAAGAGGCTCCCCTAGACGCAGGCCTTGGGATCCCCTCTGGAGCATCACCTCCCTCCACTCTCGCGTGCCTCCACCCCACGTCACCCCCCCCCCCCCACGTCACCCCCCCCCCCACGTCACCCCCCCCCCCACGTCACCCCCCCCCCACGTCACCCCCCCCCCCACGTCACCCCCCCCTCCCCCCACGTCACCCCCCCCCCACGTCACCCCCCCCCACGTCACCCCCCCCACATCACCCCCCCCCACGTCACCCCCCCCCCACGTCACCCTACCCCCACGTCACCCCCCCCCCCACGGCACCCGCCCCCCACGTGCCCCCACCAGTGAAGATTTGCTTGTAGATGTCGCTCCACGGTTCCGCTACGTCAGCAGCAGCAGCAGCCAGCGCCTCCATGTCCAGCTCCACGTCCTCCTCCCGCGGGGGGTGGGGGGGGGTGGGGGGGGTGTGGGGAGGGGGGTGTGGGGGGGGGGTGCGAGGGGATGACACGTGACACCACGTGACACCACGTGACACCACGTGACACCACGTGTCACCACGTGACACCACGTGTCACCACGTGACACCACGTGACACCACGTGACACGCAAGCCCCGAGGTGCGTGATTGTTGGCGTCTCATTGTCCTGCGCATCAACACCGGCCCTGGTCCTCTCCTAGGTCGACTCGGCCTCAAATGTGAGTGGTGCTGGCCGGCCACTCCCTGTAGTGTGCCGTTCCAGCCTTCACAGGCGCTGCTGCTACTTGCTAATAGGCAAGGCCGTAATTATAATACACATTGGGGAGGGACACACACACACACCTCCCCCCCCAACATATTGCTATATAAATAATTGCTACGCTATGTAAATAAAGATAACAATTTGCTAAACCTTTGGCCATAATATCTGGAATTGTATTCATTTTAATCAATGCATCGATTTCTGTGTATATGATTGTGGTTATGGTTGTTACTTTAGTCATCCCTAATCTCTGCCATTACATACAATGAAACAAGAAATGGTAGAAAAGTAAAAAGAGCGGTGCAAATACAATAACACTTTCACACGTAAGCAGCAGGCTTTCGCGACCAATATCATTCATAATAAAGGTTTTGGGTTAGATCGCGTCATTTTATAAATGCTGATTGGCCGTGTCGGGTGGTGGAGGGTTACGACACATTTATAAATAACGCGATCTAACCCAAAAACCTTTATTATGTACAATAACACTTTCAGACACTATCGTTAAAAATACATACAAAGTCCATCCTAAGTGTTAGTGAATTTTTAAATATTTCAGGCGGGAAATTAGTTTTCAAATGTCGATATTTTTCAAATGTCGATATTTTTCAAGTGTCGATATTTTTCAAGTGTCGATATTTTTTAAATGTAGATATTTTTCAAATGTAGATATTTTTCAAGTGTCGATATATTTCAAATGTAGATATTTTTCAAATGTAGATATTTTTCAAGTGTCGATATTTTTCAAGTGTCGATATTTTTTAAATGTCGATATTTTTCAAATGTCGATATTTTTCAAATGTAGATATTTTTCAAATGTAGATATTTTTCAAATGTAGATATTTTTCAAATGTAGATATTTTTCAAGTGTAGATATTTTTCAAATGTAGATATTTTTCAAATGTAGATATTTTTCAAGTGTCGATATTTTTCAAATGTCGATATTTTTTAAATGTCGATATTTTTCAAATGTCGATATTTTTCAAATGTAGATATTTTTCAAATGTAGATATTTTTCAAATGTAGATATTTTTCAAATGTAGATATTTTTCAAGTGTCGATATTTTTCAAATGTAGATATTTTTCAAATGTAGATATTTTTCAAATGTAGATATTTTTCAAGTGTCGATATTTTTCAAATGTAGATATTTTTCAAGTGTCGATATTTTTCAAATGTAGATATTTTTCAAATGTAGATATTTTTCAAATGTAGATATTTTTCAAATGTAGATATTTTTCAAGTGTCGATATTTTTCAAATGTAGATATTTTTCAAATGTAGATATTTTTCAAATGTAGATATTTTTCAAATGTAGATATTTTTCAAATGTCGATATTTTTCAAATGTAGATATTTTTCAAATGTAGATATTTTTCAAATGTAGATATTTTTCAAATGTAGATATTTTTCAAATGTAGATATTTTTCAAGTGTCGATATTTTTCAAATGTAGATATTTTTCAAGTGTCGATATTTTTCAAATGTAGATATTTTTCAAATGTCGATATTTTCAAATGTAGATATTTTTCAAATGTAGATATTTTTCAAATGTCGATATTTTTCAAATGTCGATATTTTTCAAATGTAGATATTTTTCAAATGTCGATATTTTTCAAATGTAGATATTTTTCAAATGTAGATATTTTTTCTGGGTTGGCACCGCCAGACACCCTGGAAGATTTGGTCCCCCTCCCCAATGCCGACTCCACAGCTACGGCCTTGCTAACAGCACTTGCCCCTACGGTCTATCAAGGCTACACAATGGGCGGGTGGGACCTCTGTCTTTGTGTCTACGGGGAGCGGCGGCACAGCAGTTCGCCTGCCGCACAACCAACCCAGCGGCCCAAAGTTAAATCATCGCTCGCGACTACCGCCACCGACGACGGTTATCCGAACCGGTCCTGGGCTTCCCACCACCACCCCTCACCCGCCCGAGGTCGACTCAAGTGATGAATTGGCGTGGTGACAATCGCCAATGGGGATGCAAAGGAGGCCGGGAAGGGTCCTGGCCGCACGAACACCGTCGTGTGCGCCACAGTGCCGGCCTTCGTAGGCGCTGCTGCTGCTGCTGCTGCTACTGCAGCTGCTACTACTGCTGCTACTACTGCTGCAGCTGCTGCTGCAGCTGCTCCTGCAGCTGCTGCTGCTACTGCTGCTGCTACTGCAGCTGCTACTGCAGCTGCTACTACTACTGCTGCTACTGCTGCTGCTACTACTGCTACTGCTGCTGCTACTGCTGCTGCTACTGCAGCTGCTACTACTACTGCTGCTGCTGCAGCTGCTACTGCTGCTGCTGCTACTCCTGCTGCTACTACTACTGCTGCTGCTGCAGCTACTGCTGCTGCTGCTACTGCTGCTCCTGCAGCTACTGCTGCAGCTGCTACTACTACTGCTGCTACTGCTGCTGCTGCTGCCTTGCAGCCCTCGCCCCAACGTCCCACCTGGGGGACACCTCTGTCTGCGCGGGAAGCAAGATGTGACTGTGGGCCGCCCTCTTCCTTCCTCCCAAGTCGCCGTGACTGGAGTGGCCACGGCGGAGGGATGTTTAACTCCGCGTGCACACTCACGTGTGCACGTTCTAACTGTTCGCTCAGTTTGAGCCACGTAATTGGGGTTCAGAGGCAGAGGGCTCTCACCGCGGGGGGCAGAGTTCAGAATAATACACGGAGCTGAAGGCGACAATTCTCGCAATCGGCGTGCCCTGCGCCTTGCTGCCACGCTCCGCGTCAGCCGGCAACAATATCCTGCTGTTATATCCTTAGCTCTTTCGGTAAAGTCACGTTGAAGGGAAACACTCAAATAATAAAATATATATAAAACAATAAAAAAAATTAACAATAAAACTATTTTATTGTTTTATATATATTTTATTATTTTATTGTTTCCCTTCAACGTGACTTTACCGAAAGAGCTAAGAATATGAATTACTGCAGTCACGAAAGCTTTAAATTAAAAAAATATCCTGCTGCTGCTGTTCAGTAACAAGTGGCGGTGGCGGTGGTGGCGGCCGCTGCATTTTCACTCCGCGCTCTCGTTTTTCAATGCTTCTTTTTGTTGGCGTTTACGGAAAACTGTTGGAATGTACTTTTGTCTTCACATTCGTTGTTGCTTGTCTATTATATCTGCTTCATATGGGGGGGCTCTGCACCCCCCTTGTGGCCGACGGGGACACCCCTGTGGGGCACCCTCTGTGTCGCAAACACACCCACCCCCGCCAGAGTCGCGCCCCTGCGTGCGGGCGAGCGAGCGAGTGAGCAAACGAGAGAGTGAGCGAGTGAGAGAGTGAGTGAGCGAGTGAGAGAGTGAGAGAGTGAGCGAGCGAGTGAGAGAGTGAGAGAGTGAGTGAGTGCATGAGCGAGTGAGCGAGCGAGCGAGCGAGGTCCACGCACCTCCATGTCCCTCTTGAGCGCGCGGAAAATGTCGTTGAGTTCGTTGAGATCCATCTCCTCCTCCAGATCGAAGTGCCCCATTTCTACATAGTGAGACACAGATGCACCCGGGTAGCCCTCAACAGACTGTTGGGGCAGTGCTGTTTACGAGCACACACACACACACAACAGCAGCCACCACTAAGTGGCGGTGACAAGAGGCTCAGGTGGTACCGCTCCAGCTCCTGACAGCGGAGAGGCAGCCTCCCCTCCTGTGAGCAGAGCATTGAAACATTCCACGTGGCCACCCACGGTAGTTTCCTGTTTAAACATCGCACGAGATTCTTCATTTGAGGCCGAGTCAACCTACGGGAGGCCCAGGATCGGTTCAGATAATCGTTACTGGCGTTGGTGGCTGTGAACGGGAATTGAACTTGGGTCGCTGGGTTCGTAGGGCAGCATGCTAACTGCTGCGCCACCGCTCCCGATCTGGACACTCGCACTGAAATTCTAGCACCACATCTGTGCGAGTCTCTGGGTCTCTCTGTGTGAGTCTGTGGGTCTCTGTGTGAGTCTATAGGTCTCTGTGTGAGTCTCTGGGTCTCTCTGTGTGAGTCTCTGGGTCTCTCTGTGTGAGTCTGTGGGTCTCTGTGAGTCTCTGTGTGAGTCTATGGGTTTCTGTGTGAGTCTATGGGTCTCTGTGTGAGTCTATGGGTCTCTGTGTTATTCTATGGGTCTCTGTGTGAGTCTGTGTGAGTCTATCGGTCTCTGTGTGAGTCTGTGTGAGTCTATGGGTCTCTGTGTGAGTCTGTGTGAGTCTATGGGTCTCTGTGTGAGTCTATGGTTCTCTGTATGAGTCTATGGCTATCTGCGTGAGTCTATGGGTCTGTGCGAGTCTCTAGGTCTGTGTGAGTCTATGGGTCTCTGTGTGAGTCTGTGTGAGTCTATCGGTCTCTGTGTGAGTCTGTGTGAGTCTATGGGTCTCTGTGTGAGTCTATGGGTCTCTGTGTGAGTCTATGGGTCTCTGTGTGAGTCTATGGCTCTCTGTATGAGTCTATGGCTATCTGCGTGAGTCTATGGGTCTGTGCGAGTCTCTAGGTCTGTGTGAGTCTATGGGTCTCTGTGTGAGTCTGTGTGAGTCTATCGGTCTCTGTGTGAGTCTGTGTGAGTCTATGGGTCTCTGTGTGAGTCTGTGTGAGTCTATGGGTCTCTGTGTGAGTCTATGGCTCTCTGTATGAGTCTATGGCTATCTGCCCGAGTCTATGGGTCTGTACGAGTCTCTAGGTCTGTGGTGAGTCTATGGGTCTCTGTGTGAGTCTGTGTGAGTCTATCGGTCTCTGTGTGAGTCTGTGTGAGTCTATGGGTCTCTGTGTGAGTCTATGGCTCTCTGTATGAGTCTATGGCTATCTGCATGAGTTTATGGGTCTGTGCGAGTCTCTAGGTCTGTGTGAGTCTATGGGTCTCTGTGTGAGTCTGTGTGAGTCTATCGGTCTCTGTGTGAGTCTGTGTGAGTCTATCGGTCTCTGTGTGAGTCTATGGGTCTCTGTGTGAGTCGACAGCCAGGCCACGTGTCTGTCCTGAGGCCCATCACCACCGTCAGGCTCGGAATCCCCAGAGGAAGTTTGATGTGGAGGCAGCTGTGGTGGTCAGATGGGGCGGGGGGGGGGCAGGGGGGGGCTCTAGGGGGGGGCTCTAGGGGGGGCAGGGGGGAGGGAATGTCGGGGTGTAGCACGTGACCCCACAGACAATACAGCACCACCGCTACCACAAAGACAAAGATCCCCGGTGTAATCTTCACAGACTGTTGGGGCAAGTGCTGTTAGCGAGCGCCTATGACGGCCGGTACGGCACACGAGGGGGTGGGTGGCTACCAGCACCACTCCCGACCGCCTTTGTCTCCCCAGTGGCGATGTTTACTACACACCGCACCAGCCACTCATTGGAGTTGGCCTCGGGGAAGCCCAGGATCGGTTCAGATAATCGTCACCGGTGTTGGCCGTGAGTGGGATTGCCAGGTTCGTAGTACAGCGCTCATCACTACACTCCCAAAACTACTACCACAACCACCACTACTACCACAACCACCACTAACACCACTACTACCACAACCACCACAACCACCACTACTACCACTACTACCACAACTACCACTACTACCACAACCACCACTACTACCACAACCACCACAACCACCACAACCACCACTACTACCACAACCACCACAACCACCACTACCACCACTACTACCACAACCACAACTACTACCACAACTACTACCACTACTACCACTACCACCACTACTACCAATACCATCACTACTACCACTACCACCACTACCACCACTACTACCACTACCACCACTACTACCACAACCACCACAACCAACACAACCACCACTACTACCACTACTACCACAACCACCACTACTACCACTACCACCACTACTACCACTACCACCACTACTACCACTACCACCACCACTACTACCACAACCACCACAACTACCACAACCACCACTACTACCACAACCACCACTACTACCACTACTACCACAACCACCACTACTACCACCACAACCTGTGTTACCCTGTGTGTAGTTACCCTGTGTGTAGTTACCCTGTGTGTGTGTAGTTACCCTGTGTGTAGTTACCCTGTGTGTGTGTAGTTACCCTGTGTGTGTAGTTACCCTGTGTGTGTAGTTACCCTGTGTGTAGTTACCCTGTGTGTGTAGTTACCCTGTGTGTAGTTACCCTGTGTGTAGTTACCCTGTGTGTGTGTAGTTACCCTGTGTGTAGTTACCCTGTGTGTGTAGTTACCCTGTGTGTAGTTACCCTGTGTGTGTGGTTACCCTGTGTGTAGTTACCCTGTGTGTGGTTACCCTGTGTGTGTGTAGTTACCCTGTGTGTAGTTACCCTGTGTGTGTAGTTACCCTGTGTGTGTGTGGTTACCCTGTGTGTAGTTACCCTGTGTGTAGTTACCCTGTGTGTGTGTAGTTACCCTGTGTGTGGTTACCCTGTGTGTGGTTACCCTGTGTGTGTGTAGTTACCCTGTGTGTGTGTGGTTACCCTGTGTGTAGTTACCCTGTGTGTAGTTACCCTGTGTGTGGTTACCCTGTGTGTGGTTACCCTGTGTGTGGTTACCCTGTGTGTGTAGTTACCCTGTGTGTGTAGTTACCCTGTGTGTGGTTACCCTGTGTGTGGTTACCATGTGTGTGTGTGGTTACCCTGTGTGTGTGTGGTTACCCTGTGTGTAGTTACCCTGTGTGTAGTTACCCTGTGTGTAGTTACCCTGTGTGTAGTTACCCTGTGTGTATAGTTACCCTGTGTGTATAGTTACCCTGTGTGTGGTTACCCTGTGTGTGTGTAGTTACCCTGTGTGTAGTTACCCTGTGTGTGTGTGGTTACCCTGTGTGTAGTTACCCTGTGTGTAGTTACCCTGTGTGTAGTTACCCTGTGTGTAGTTACCCTGTGTGTAGTTACCCTGTGTGTGTAGTTACCCTGTGTGTGTAGTTACCCTGTGTGTAGTTACCCTGTGTGTGGTAGTCGTCCACACCCACGTGGTTGGGGACTAAGAACGACTCCATGGCTGGAGCCGCGTCACGAGACGCGGCCACAGCCCAGAGGGTGACGAGGAGCAGAGGGCGAGTGACGAGGAGTGACGAGGTGTAGAGGGTGACGAGTGACGAGGTGTAGAGGGTGACGAGTGACGAGGTGTAGAGGGTGACGAGGAGCAGAGGGCGAGTGACGAGGAGTGACGAGGTGTAGAGGGTGACGAGTGACGAGGTGTAGAGGGTGACGAGTGACGAGGTGTAGAGGGTGACGAGGTGCAGAGGGCGAGTGACGAGGAGGCGAGTGACGAGGCGAGTGAGTGAGCGAATGAGGAGGGAGACGAGGCGAGTGAGTGAACGAGTGAATGAACGAGTGAACGAACGAGTGAATGAGCGAACGAGTGAACGAACGAGTGAGTGAACGAGTGAATGAGGGAGACGAGGCGAGTGAATGAACGAGTGAACGAACGAGTGAACGAACGAACGAACGAGTGAACGGGGAGGCGAGTGAACGAGGCAGCGCTAGGGACACGTCAGTGCGGTGCGGCCAACACTTCCGGGTCGTGACGTCACGCAGTCGAGCCGGAAATCGAGCGCGATCACGTGACCCGCACATAAACAACAACTAAGTGGCGGTGACGTCACCACGACGTTTGTGCCAGGCCACGAGCACCTTGAGGCCATGTGAAGTGTCGAACGCCCGCTGGCAGGAGGTCACGGGGCAGACCCAGGTGCCACGTTTTTGTTTATTGTAGTACGGAGTTAGACTGATGGCCTTAATCTTAGTTGTCTTGTGGTTGTTGTTGTTGTTTGACTTGCATCCCACTGGGATTTTTGCACACAGCGTTGGTGTACGGTGCTATTTCAGGAATATTTTTATATTTTTTTCCTGGATTTTCTGTTTGCACAGTCACACATAGTCACTTTAAAATGTTTTCTTGTTCATGATTTTTGTTTGTTGCGGTTGCACCCGATTCAAGAGCCGAATGGCTCACAGGGCTATACCAAAATAAATGAACTATGAACTATGACTGAGATGACTGAGATGACTGGCTGATGCACCACCTGTGCCCCCTACTGTGCCAACCTGCTGTGCTTTAGCCACCCGGCGCTCCGCTCGTTGTTGTGAGCGTCGCTCCTCCGCCCTCCGTTGTTGTTGGAGGGCGACTGCCTCCAACTGCCCAGTAGCAGCAGCGTCCTTCACGAGCCTCTTCCACAGAGGCCGATCTTGACACCGCTGGTACCAGTCATCGGCAAGTCCACTCAGCTCCACGTCCTCCTGTACCACATCACTCCATCTCTTCTCTAGCCCGGTGCCTCCTGTACTACATCACTCTATCTCTTCACTAGCCCGTGCCTCCTGTACCACATCACTCCATCTCTTCTCTAGCCCGGTGCCTCCTGTACCACATCACTCCATCTCTTCTCTAGCCCAGTGCCTCCTGTACCACATCACTCCATCTCTTCTCTAGCCCGGTGCCTCCTGTACCACATCACTCCATCTCTTCTCTAGCCCGGTGCCTCCTGTACCACATCACTCCATCTCTTCACTAGCCCGTGCCTCATGTACCACATCGCTCCATCTCTTCTCTAGCCCGGTGCCTCCTGTACCACATTACTCCATCTCTTCTCTAGCCCGGTGCCTCCTGTACCAGATCACTCCATATCTTCTCTAGCCCGGTGCCTCCTGTACCACGTCACTCCATCTCTTCTCTAGCCCGTGCCGGCTTAGCCCCCTCGATCCAGCCGAACAAAAGCTGTTTCGGCATGCGGTAGCTGGGCATGCGGGCTACATGACCCAGCCATCGCAGCCTTCCCCGCCGGAGGAGCTCACCGATGGGACCGTGCCCAGATCTTTCAAGGATTTGTGAGCTCCTCACACGATCCAGCCTGGTTAAACCCAGGATGGATCGTAGGCAGGCCAGCCTAAATGTTTCTAATCGGCGAAGATGTCTCATTAGGGGTGTCCACGTTTCGCAAGCGTAGAGAAGGGAGGGAATGACCGTGGCCGAGAAGACCTGAAGCTTAGTGCGGAGCGACATACCAGGTAGCTTCCACACAGCGTTACGCAACCGATGAAAAGATATTGCCGCTCAACTGATTCGGAGTGAGACCTCTGCTGTTAAACTGGAGCCGGTCATAAGCACACTGCCCAGGTATGGGAAACTCTCCACTCTCTCCACAACTGCCCCATCACCGATTGGGAGTTGTGGGGGTGGAGTGTCCGATGGTGCAAAATACCCAGGCAGGTGCTTCGTTTTGGTGGGGCTGATGGTAAGGCCCCATCTCTTAGTGGCACGCTCCAGTCTCAGCAGCAGCGTCTCCAACTCCTCCTCTGAATGAGCAGCTATTACCAAATCATTGGCATACATAACGTGGTTGAGCAATAGGGAGCCATCCCTTGACTGCACCCGGCCATCGATCAGCCTCCCATTATATCTGTACCAAATGGAGATTCCCCCGGTACAGCTATTGAAGGCTTCACGAACTACGTGGTCAAAATAGATGTTAAATAATGTGGGAGCCAGAGGACATCCCTGTCGCACCCCAAGGTGTACAGGGAATGGCTCTGACTCCAGGCCACGTAGTTTTACCCGGGCCCGCTCACCATCATGAAGGTCCTTAATGATCGTGAGCAGAGGGTCAGGGACTCCAAAAGCACAAAGAACAACCCAGAGCCGAGGCCTACTGATGGTATCATAAGCCTTGACCAGGTCAATAAAGCAGAGATGTAGGTCTTGCTGGAATTCCCTACACCTCTGCTGTAGCAGATGGACAGAAAATATGGCATCTGTGCAGGACTGCCCTTTCCTGAAACCGCATTGGGGCTCCGCAAGCCTCTCCTCAGCGTGCCTGGCAAGGCGATGTTAAATAATCCTTGCCAGGACCTTTTCCGGCACACTGAGGAGTGAGATGCCCCTGTAGTTGTTACAGTCTGTGCGGTCCCCCTTCTTAAAAAGGGGGACCACCAGGGCATCCTTCCAATCCTGCGGAACCCGTCCAGTGGTCCAGATTGTTGTTATGATGTCATATAGGGCAGTCTGTGCACAAACGCCACCCTCCCTCAGCATTTTGCTTGGGAGATCATCTCTGCCCGCTGCCTTTCCTGGTCTCAGACTCCGGGTCGCCTTCAGTACTTCCTCAACAGATGGCACTTCAGCCAGCCACTCACAGGGGGTGACTTGTTCCAATATTTGAGGCACCGCAGCCTCAGCAGGGTCATCCTCACTTTGTGCCGCGATGTTTTCCTGGCTGAGAGATTTCCCCTCCCCCAGAACCTCACAGAAATGCTCAGAAAATCTGCAAACCTGTTCCTGGGGGTCGGAGATTGAATCACCGTTTTTTCCCCCTAATGATGGTAATAGGTGTGGCGCTGCAGGTTACTTTTTTGATGGAGTTAAATAGAGACTTGTGGTCGCGGGCCACTGAGGCAGACTCCATCTCCTCAGCAACCCGCGACCACCACCCATCCTTGCAGCGCCTCACGGCTCTCCGAACCTCCGAGCGAAGGCTGCGGTAAGCCTCCTCATTCTCTGACATGGGATTCTGTATCCGATGACAGTGGGCCTGTTGCTTTTTCTCAACCATCCTGAACACCTCCTCTGTCAGCCAGGGTCTCTGGTGGGGTCTGGACCGCATGCCCAAAGCAGCCATTGCAGCTGCATGAGTCACAGTCCTAAACCTCGCCCATTTACCCTCGACATCAGGAGGAGTGGGGGACGATGCCATCCCCAGCTGCAAGCGATGATGAAATTCTCGCTTGCAACTTTCATCAGATAACTGAGACCAGGCCACTTTAGGTTGGAATGGGGTCCTGGGTGTACACCCACCACCGGAGTGGAAGAATGGCAGGCGAATCTTACAGATGACTAGTCGATGGTCAGAGGGCAGATCAGCTCCACGGTTGGTCCTGGTGTCAAGCACATGGGCTCGCATCCGCTGGTCCGTCACTACAACATACATACACACACACGTACACATACATACAAAGACAAAGATCCCCCATATAGCCTGAACAGACTGTAGGGGCAAGTGCTGTTAGCGAGCACCTATGAAGGCCGGAACGGTACACGAGGGGGTGGGTGGCCAGCACCACGCCCGACCGCCTTTGTCTCCCTAGTGGCAATGTTTACAAACCGCACCAGGTACTCATTTGAGGCTGAGTCGACCTAGGGGAGGCCCAGGACCGGTTCAAAAAATCGTCACCAGAGTTGGCCGTGAACAACACATACAAAACACAAACAGATACACAACAACACAACACAAACAGATACACAACAACACAACACAAACAGATACACAACAACACGCCCCAACAGATACACAACAACAACACAACAACAGATACACAACACACACCAACAGATACACAACAACACACACCAACAGATACACAACAACACACACCAACAGATACACAACAACACACACCAACAGATACACAACACACCAACAGATACACAACACACACCAATAGATACACAACAACAACACAACACCAACAGATACACAACAACAACACACACCAACAGATACACAACAACACAACACCAACAGATACACAACAACAACACAACACCAACAGATACACAACACCAACAGATACACAACAACGCACACTAACAGATACACAACACCAACAGTTACACAACAACAACACAACACCAACAGATACACAACAACGCACACTAACAGATACACAACACAACACCAACAGTTACACAACAACACAACACCAACAGATACACAACAACACACACTAACAGATACACAACACAACACCAACAGTTACACAACAACACAACACCAACAGATACACAACAACACAACACCAACAGATACACAACAACAACACAACACCAACAGTTACACAACAATAACACAACACCAACAGATACACAACAACACAACACCAACAGATACACAACAACACAACACCAACAGATACACAACAACAACAACACAACACCAACAGATACACAACAACAACACACACCAGGCAAGAGCGGACGTCCTTTAGTAGCCACAAGGAGAAATTCCTGCCTTGATCCGTGAGCAACCGCTCCGGTGCCCCCTTATCAAGAACATCGCCCCCCACGAAGGCATTGGCGATGGTCTGGGCCGTTTGGTCCGGGGGGTCCCACGCCCTCGGCCACCTCGTGCAGTACTCGACACCAACCAACAGGTATTCATTTCCCCGTGGCGTGACCGGCAGCGGTCCCAGGATGCCCAACGCGACCAATTCGTTGACCCTGGTCATCGTGATGGGCTGCAGGGGCGCCCGGCTTACCCGGGGTGGTGGCTCCCGCCGCGCGCGTTCGACGCAGGTAGCGACCCATCGGTGCACGTCAGCGGTCGTGCCTGGCGAGAAGT